TGCAACAAAAACTGGAAATTTACATACACATATATATATATATATAGCTAAATAGAAATATAAAAAAAGAATCAAAATAACAAAAGCACATAACAAAATTACTAAAACCTAAAGTATAATTCAAATGAAAACAAAAAAATATAAAAATAAAAGCGCATTCAAATAACACTAATGAATGCCCTTGTGTAGTAGGGTGTGTTTTGAGTCATACCAGGACATGTGATGGCTTGTGGGAAACTCAAACCCATTTCATACCCACACTGCACTTGTCAGGCTGATAATACTGAACATCACACTAAAGTCCTGCCAACTGGCTGCCTTCAAAACCCTGGAGGAGCTGCTGCAACCTCACAGGAACTCATATTACTGTCATCCTGCATCAATGAACCCACAAGGAGACGATTCCCTTTATTTACATTCTGATGAAGTGCATGAGCAGTAATGGTGGAAAGCATCCTGTAATGTTCCTTTTAATAGCAGGTGCATTAGGAGATCTTCAGGAGCAGCTCTGGCAGGTATTTGGGTGGACTGTCAGTTCATTAGTGGTCGGGAAAGCGGGGAAGAGGTACCCTGTGGCTCCAGGCCAGAGCTGCTACGACTTCCACTGTCTCTACTTGACAATTATCTCTCTGCATTTTGGGATCAAGTCATATTAGGACCCTAAGAAGTTTGTTAAACACCCTTCACGTTAATGAGACAGACCTGAAGCCTCCCCTCCACAGCTCTTAAAATACTCACAAACTTCCCACTTGTACTTTATATTTATAAACTCCACATGCACCCACCGGAGTGTTCAAAAACTCTGGTTTGAAATATCAAATGACTTCAAAGGACATACTACTACTTGGGATAGAGTGCACAGGTCAACTTCCTTGCTGTGATGCTTTTTATCATTTTTGGAGCCCTTTCAATTTCATTATTCAGAAAGCGCACATCAGAGATCATATTAAACTGCACTTTTTGTTTTCCACAGCAGAACGAAGGTGAGTTAGGGTGAGTAAATAATGACAGCACTTTCCTTTTTGGGTGAACTGTCCCTTTAAGCTGTGATCATGTGACCATGCAGTACCACACTCAGCCAGTGGGGGCGCTACAGGACACACAGCACAACAGTGAAGCGGGTGGAGGCTCTTATACCTTGAAACTGAGAGGTTGGGAAGAGATTCTGAACAAGGTCCGACATTGTACCTGAGGCACAACAGACACCCACAGACAGAAATGATGAATGACAGACACCAACTCAATGATCAACCAATGAGCAGTGCTGGGGAGTTGAACTGCGCTAAAAAAAATCAGTGACACTACGGTTTATCACTACGTTTTCAAACCTGCTATATAATATATACACCATGTTCTGCATTAAAAACCTCTGGTTTGAAAATCTAAAGGCGTCGGATTCAGATTTCAGACTAGATTTAAAATGAAATGTCATCAAAAAAGTCATTTTGCACATAAAGAAGTTCTACTCATATTTCACTTTAAGTCCCAACAGCATGCCAATTTATGAATTACGGTGGAAGCTAATAATTATTAGTCATAATTAAGACATAATTGTGAATTTTAATGGTCCAAATTCAGTTTGCTGGAATAATGATAAAGTTTGCAAGGTTTACAAGGAGACTTTGTGCAACTAAAATAACATTTCCCATTATTCTGTGCGATGGCACAAAATGATAAAATGCACAAATATATAATCAATTACACCTCTAATGCACATCCTCATTATGCTGAATTAGTGCTTAAAAGCTCTTTATCATGAAGTCAAAAAGAGGAAAAGAAACATAAAATTGCCCAGCATATCCATTTTTTTGTTAGTAGTACATTAGTATTCAAGTTCAATACAGTCAACGCAATTGTTCTTTGTAACAGATGAATACTGCTTTAAATAAATTAACAACAAAAAAAAAGAAACCTTCACAAATGATAAAATGCACAAATATATAATCAATTAGACATCAATTACACAAATGCACATCCTCATTATGCTGAATTAGTGCTTAAAAGCTCTTTATCATGAAGTCAAAAAGAGGAAAAGAAACATAAAATTGCCCAGCATATCCATTTTTTTGTTAGTAGTACATTAGTATTCAAGTTCAATACAGTCAACGCAATTGTTCTTTGTAACAGATGAATACTGCTTTAAATAAATTAACAACAAAAAAAAAGAAACCTTCACAGTCATCTAACTATTTGAAATTCTGAGTTACAAAGTATCTTTCCCCAACACTGCTGAGAGAGATGAAGATGGAGGGAAAATTTAAATGCTAATTTAAATGAAGGTCTGAAAATGAAACTGTCAGTGTGGTTACTGTTTTTTTACTTTAGCTTTAGGTATTTTAAACTTTAGGTTTAGTTAAAGTTAAAGTTAGTAAATTGCAACAAAAACTGGAAATTTACATACACATATATATATATATATAGCTAAATAGAAATATAAAAAAAGAATCAAAATAACAAAAGCACATAACAAAATTACTAAAACCTAAAGTATAATTCAAATGAAAACAAAAAAATATAAAAATAAAAGCGCATTCAAATAACACTAATGAATGCCCTTGTGTAGTAGGGTGTGTTTTGAGTCATACCAGGACATGTGATGGCTTGTGGGAAACTCAAACCCATTTCATACCCACACTGCACTTGTCAGGCTGATAATATTGAACATCACACTAAAGTCCTGCCAACTGGCTGCCTTCAAAACCCTGGAGGAGCTGCTGCAACCTCACAGGAACTCATATTACTGTCATCCTGCATCAATGAACCCACAAGGAGACGATTCCCTTTATTTACATTCTGATGAAGTGCATGAGCAGTAATGGTGGAAAGCATCCTGTAATGTTCCTTTTAATAGCAGGTGCATTAGGAGATCTTCAGGAGCAGCTCTGGCAGGTATTTGGGTGGACTGTCAGTTCATTAGTGGTCGGGAAAGCGGGGAAGAGGTACCCTGTGGCTCCAGGCCAGAGCTGCTACGACTTCCACTGTCTCTACTTGACAATTATCTCTCTGCATTTTGGGATCAAGTCATATTAGGACCCTAAGAAGTTTGTTAAACACCCTTCACGTTAATGAGACAGACCTGAAGCCTCCCCTCCACAGCTCTTAAAATACTCACAAACTTCCCACTTGTACTTTATATTTATAAACTCCACATGCACCCACCGGAGTGTTAAAAAACTCTGGTTTGAAAACCTGAAGGGGTCGGATGCAGATTTCAGATTTGATTTCAAACTCAATATAAGCTTTAAATAAGTTCTACACCCATTTTTCTTCAACTCCCCACAGCATGTCAATTAAAGAACCATAGCCAAAAACTCTGGTTTGAAAACCTGAAGGGGTCGGATGCAGATTTCAGATTTGATTTCAAACTCAATATAAGCTTAAAGAAGTTCTACACCCATTTTTCTTCAACTCCCCACAGCATGTCAATTAAAGAACCATAGCACAAGACATTGTTAGTAGTCATAATTAAGCTATAAATGTGAATTTTGACTATCCAATTGAAGTTTGTTGATGAAAAACTTCCCACATTCTGGGAACAGCAAAACATGATAAAATACTCACATAAAACTCACTATTTAGAATCAGTGCTTAAAAAGACATATATATATATGTGTGACCCATGCCGACAAAATAAGTATGAATGCGCACGGTCTAATATTGAGCTACAAATTTTACAAAATAAAAAATAATAATTGTATTTTTTACAAAAATGAGTTAATTAAGCCCTCTTCTAGTGATCCCAATGCTTCAAATAGTAATTAAACATCTAAAATTATTTTTATTTGTACGTTTTCTGAGAGGAGTACCTTTTTCTCTGCTCACTTCTGGACGACTGCTTGTTGTAGGATATATCGTTGCAAAGTGCAGCATTCCAGCTTTATAAATATTCATAGTGAATTCTGTATGACATGAGTCTGAACCAGTAAAATATGATTTTCAAACCCATGCTGATGAAAACAAAACGATTGCGCTGATATTTGTAAAGCGCGTGCATTTCCGAGAGCGCGCGATCTCCCTATAAAGTGCATTATTGCGAAATATGTCCTGGTGAGATTCACACAAACATAATCTGTTATGTCTTACATGAACGTTTAGTTAATGGTTGGGGGAAAATCTGATGTGTAACATTATATTAGATCCATGCATTACAGTAGGTCACAATATTGATCTTTCTCGATGTTAATCAAACATTAAAAGAAAAGATGGAATCATTCGCTATTCTTGATTAAACTACAGTTTATTTGCATCTTTGTATCTTATTTTTAATAACAAAGATAAAATAAAAACAGCTATATTGTGATTAATAATATAGTTATTATTATTAAGAAAAGAACTGGAGGAAAATATGCAAGGTTGCTCTGTGATTTTGTTTTGGAACCTTCAAACTTTTTGACTTTGCTGACTCTATTGCCTTCAAACGGCTGTAGCTCAGTCATTTTTTTGTCCGATTCCAACAAGTTATATATCATTTTGATATATTTTTAATGTAGAATGTGAAAATGAAGAGAACTCATTTTTGAAAATTTGCTCATTTCGACTCATTTCAGTGCATCCATTTTCCCCCAGACCAATATCACTTCAAATCACAATATAATTTCCAAACACTCATCACAGCGCAACTTTAACTCAGTAACCCCTTATTAACCATATTTTACGTCATGACTAGATCTTCTAGATTTTATTCATAAAAAATGTTTGCATCAACATTTGTGTTTAATTTTAATAATTTTAATTATAGTGCTTCTCCTATCTTCAACCATTGCTTAATACCCCTTAGTACCTACACTACCTATTAGATCCGGCAACAATCACTTTAAAAACATAAATAAATAAAACCATGAATAAGACCATGAAAACAAAGTAAACAAGCAAAGAGGGTATAATTCAGGTGCTCAGGAGTGAGATTTAGGAGGTGCTAAATAAGTCACAGTGAGATGCAAATCAAACCTCAGAAAACAAGAGATGCAGATGATGAGTTAGGAGAATATACGTCTCTTTACCTTTGCCTCCTGTGCCCTGGCCTCCAGGTTTATTGTACAGATAGATGTCATGATCGGGCAGCTCGCTGCTCAAATGGAAGTAATGCTAAGAGAGAACAAGAGCGAGAAACAAAGAACATGGATTTATGGAGGATGATCATTTAAAAAAAGTATGCATTTATTTATTTTATATCTTCATAATGACACCGATTTCAAGTAGGAATGCTTATTTTATGCTTATCTTATAACTTATTTTTCATAAGTTTCTGGTCTGGTTAGGATGACACTGGAAAAAAATTGTTAAAGGTTGACCCTTTTTTTACAATTCAAACAGTAAACTCTTTATCTGTGCCCGGTTCTAAATGACTAAATGTAGACAAGCTGGGATTGTAATCAGCTGTTCACAATGATTATTGTGCATTTTAAATTCTAATCACACACTGGCTTCCAAAAAATGGCATTTAAGTGACTACAGAGATGCAATGAAGTGTGTGTTTATGTCTTTCCTCCTGGTGCAGTAGTGCATTATGGAAGCTCTCTAAATGAACTCTCAGTGACCTGTTAAAGCGAACCGCACTCAGAGAGCATGAAAGTATAAACGCATTTGCAGAGCCCCGCTGCGTGGTGCTTCACTTCACACTCACATGGAAGTATAAATGGCTTACTGCAAACCAATTTGTTTCAATTTCAGAATTTTTGCGTAATCGCCAACATTTTGGGGCAGTGGATTTGATTAGACCATTTTAAAATGATTGGTGACAGTGATTAATTTAAGACAAAAATACATTTCTTTTGACAAATACAAAATTATGACACACACACACACACACACACACACACACACACACACACACACATATATATATCAGTCAGACGATTAATCAATCGCGATTAATTGCATCCAAAATAAAAGTTTTTGTTTATATAATGTGTGTGTACTGTGTATATTTATTATGTATATATAAATACACACATATGCATGTACATATAAGAAAAATGTTTTGTTTATATATAAACAAATATACATAACCATATAAACATTTATACATATATAAATGTTTATTTATATATTGTGTGTGTATGTGTGTGTGTGTGTGTGT